CATGCGTACAAAGGAAAAAAAGAGTATAATTAAGAAGTTATGGTGGTTGATTACTTATTTAATTCTCACGTTAGTTTTTTCACAACGTGAAAAACAAACACGATGCACGCGATGCGCGCGAGTATGTGGCATTAAAATTTCAAAATGCTTTTATCACATTGTAGCTGCACTCGAGGTAAAAATGTAGAACGAATAGTGAATATTATTCACTAAAATGTACAGCTCGAGATAAGGAGCGTGCGAATATGATAACAGCATATGTAATTACATACACGGGCGAATACCGTGCAACTCGTTATGCCAACTTTATTGCGGACCTTTTCTACTTGCATCTGCGTATCCTAGCGCTTAGTATCTTACATGCATAGATGCTAATGAAAGATAATTTGAACTACATATACATGTAACGTAAATGTATAGTTTACTAAAGACATGAATTCAACATTCAGAAACAATAACACAAGCTTGTACAAACACACGTATGTCTAATTTCGTTGTATTTCCGAATTAAAGCAAATGCTGTGTTTCAGAGAAATAGTTCTAGAAGTTCTAAACTTATTCCGTTCGAATATTCATAAACGCTGGTTTCTCTGGACTTGAATCTGTTGAATTTTTGCTTGTGGGATCATTTGAGATCCATTGTCTACAGAGCACGCGTTGAGAATAGTGAAATACTCCGCTGATGAATTGAACAAGATTTCGAGCGGAAATTCAAGTAAAACATACGTCGAAAAGAGAAAAAAATTAATGACAAGACAAGCTTGTCACGGGAATAAATAAGAGTAGCAAAATTAGATGTGCGAACAGTTAATTAAATCAACATTAGTAATTAAATTATTTTAATAAATAGGTATTAGTGTGTGGAAATAGAGCTTTTTTATAAACAATGTTAGATATTCGACACATTCGACATAGTCACTCTTAATGATTATATTAGCTGGCGAACCTTCTCTTTATTCATGAGTCCAGTTTGATTAATGGTCTGATTATACTTAACAAATAGCAAACAAAAGTAAAGCGTAGAAAATGTGCTGTAATGTATGTGCAAACGACTACTGTGATTATCGTTTCGCGGAGTCATGAGGTATTTGTCTTCAGACAGAATGGAGTGTTGTTCTACTGTTTTTAATCAACAACGAAGGAAAAAAACTGACGCAAGTGTAACGACAGGTTTGCGACTTTGCGCAAACAAGAAAACGACGTGTCGGTGATTAAAAACAGGAGCGTTGCTGTATTATTTCGCTAAGCTTGCTCGGAAAAGATCGATAAATATGAAGAAAACAATGCTAAGAGAGAGAGAGAAGCTTTAATAACAATGTGAAATATTTTTCATGCAAGAAAAAATTGTAGGTAATTAATTAAATGAATATTCACAAGGACAAAAACAATGTAAGAATATGGTCGCTAACAGTTAAACTTTATTAATTGCGTCTGCTCCGCAAGCACGCTCGAGAACTAAATTTAACAATCTTCGAAGTAACAGCGCATCCTTCGGCGTATTCTTTATTATTTCGAGCGTATCATCTCGCGGTCCTTCGTCGAATGCCGCGCGTCATTAACATTCTTTTAATTTTCCGCGCGCCTTTACGTGCCATTTCATAACGTAGCGCTACGCCGCGATGCGAACTCGTACGTGCAAAAATTCGCAACCCTAGTCGTCCCACGGGGAACGTGGGAACTAGGGTCCTTTTTTTCTCTTCTATTTTCCTCTCGCCCGCGTCGTTGCAGACGCGACAAAAGCGAGTCGCAACGAATCAAACGTAAATCCGCGGCAAAAATTACGAAAACAAATCGCGCGCCATATTTCCATACAGATTGAACGCGGCGTTTCTCAGCTCGACCGCTTGTTTCCCGATGCGCGCACGTGAAGCGAGATTCGTCAGGATGCGGATCGAAGAATTATGCGATACGACGTTCGGCGTGTACGGCAATCTCGCGAAACCGCAAACGCCGACCGGTCCAGCGCCGGAAATTGTACACAATATCGTGTCGCAATGAAAGAGCCAATGGGGGCGGCACTCGTTTACTCATAGTCGCAAGCTCGTGCAGTTGTAATTAAACGGCGCAGAAACCGACGAACTCGAACCGGTTGTCTTGGAAACGGCTTGCGCCCTGTCTTTATCACTGTGGATCGTCGGAATGACGGGGAAACTTGGATAATTTTGGGATTGATGTAGATCAGCTGAATTGGGACGGTAAGACATTAAGGTCGGACAGGTATATCGACCATCTGCCTCAGCGGACGTATAAAGGCGGATTACGGAGAGACGTTGTGCATTTTCTGGCTAGCGTAGATAAAAGCATGTGCGCGCTTCTTCTTCGCATTCGACTTATCAAGGCTCTTTTATCCCAATGACAAATATTGGATACCCGAGAGATAGCGATACAATAGAAGAGAATCGCGTGTATTAAATATAAGAATTTGCAATATTAGTATTGCATACATCGAGTTAATATATGGTTTTCTAAAATTTTCTAAAATGCGAAATTTTACTATTCAAATTTGTCCTTTTTATTTTAATTCTCACAAATATGCATTTATTAGAACAAAGACAGGTTTTTTATAGTAGTAATTTTTACGGTTTGTAAAATTTTAAATCTTTAAGGAATAGTACATATTTTTATATTTTATATCGCTCTATGAAATTGATATCAGTTAAATTTGACGTACTTAAAAATGAAAATTTATCAATTCTCGATGCGGGGAAATGTTTAATTATTTGTTTCGGTCAATGTTTTGCAAAACTGTATATTTTCTTTTCATCTAAGAATCTTATAGTGCTACTCGACGAAAATAACCCAAACCCAGGTATTACCGCACTAGCGGCTACAATTATCAGCCGGAACATGCCGCTAACGAGGAAAGCCTTTCAAAGGCAACATGGAGTTTCGATTAAACTTTGTAGGCGCTCCCGCAAAAGAAAGACACGTATTTTTCTCGGTACACTAAGGAACTTATTTGCTACTTCATTTCAATGAAACAATCGCTCAAGAAGTTTTTCCCTCTGACTTTTCAGCTGCAAGAAATTTCTGACAATACGATATTATAGATACTCGAGCTTTTTATCGTGAATAATGAGATTATTAACGTGCAGGAATATCGATATATATAGGTAGAGAATTTTTCATAATATCAACTGTGTCTTGAAGGTAATTTTTTTTATACGCCCGGCAATCGATAATCCAATCTTTTGCAAGAGAATTATCTTCTGTTTTTTTATATAAATACTGTTTTGCTAAACAGGATTGAAAACAAATATTACACAAGCTTTCTAAGATACTGTGTGTCTTATTGTGCCATTTGGTGCGCGAATAAATGGGATTGCTCCTTTAGCGGTGCGGGAACGTGCGACATAAAGCCGGTCGTAGTGCAGTTTACGTGACACGCTTAACTACAAGCTCTTGCAGAAACGTATCATTTCATATACTCCTGCAATGTCATACACTTGTATATCATATTTGCGATATTCTTCAAGAAAATAACATTGTTTTGAAGACATTTATCTTCTCAATTCTGACTAAAGTACCAAATATAACATGGATGTTCCAGTAATCGGAACTTTTCAGAATTAATCATTATTGTGGATATAGTTTGTTTTTCTGCCACAATAATATTTTTCTCATCGATTTGTATACTTAATAAAGATTAAAGTCTACTGAACAAATATTGAACACGGTAAGTTCCGATTAAAATTACGATTAAATATTTGCAAACGATATCGGGTATGCATATGTACCAGTGTTTAAATATATTGTAGAATGCACACAAAAGAGGAAATAATAATTATTCTGTTAAATCGATGAACACCGAAGGTAAGAATTGCGAAACTGGTATCACTCGAAGCATAAGCTCTTCTAGATCCGCCGAGTCCATCCCGGCATGAGTGGCGTTACTTTATCGCATTGGAAAGCATTGGCAATATTAAACTTTGACGTTTGATAATATTGTTCTTCGCAACGTCTTTCTAAAAATAAATGCCGAGCGGCTAGCAATTAATCTCCTCTAATTCTCGAAGCGTTGATACTTTTCGTCTTGCCATTTTATTTTACGTGGCTCACCGGCAGATTTAAATCTTCTTTTGTTCGTAAATATTTGTACTGTAGCCCTAAGCTTAAGAGTTTAGACCCTAAGCCAAGACATGGATGCGTATTTTCTTGTAAATCCAATAATCTGGATCTGCGGTGAGTTGAGATTCGTGATGTACACTGTTTGTTTAAGGCGTATTCCAACGTGAGGTAATTCCCGCGTTTGCCCCCCCCCTTTTAGGATTTGAAATAAATTTTCGATATAACAACAGTACATGTTAATCTATTATAAATATCGCGAAAGAGAATATACGAGATGCAAATAGAAATATAGTCCGCGCTCAGATATTTCATCAACGTCAATGTCATGCGCGTCATGTCACACGGTATGGTGTAATTCGAATATTAATCGGGTTTCTAAATTGCAGATGGTTGTACAGCGGCTCAAAAGTGAGGTAGTACTGATTTCCATCTCGATTAAAATGAGACTCAAAGTGATTTAGCGAGGTAATTGCAACTGACTCGTTAGCATCGCCTGATGCGAGGATCCACGCGTAGACTCCCTCCGCCTCCCCCCTTTTATAGTGCGGCGGAATGCAGCGAAATTAGAGAACCGCACCGTCCGCAGGCAATAGTGGCGCATAGTTGCGGATCTACCTGAACACCATGTTCAAATCAAATTGCAAATACCGCAACAGTGTGACAAGAGACAAAGATTGTCTGTTTCGCCGTCGTTTGAACGTGATTCGCGCGTCATATCACAGCTAACTAAACAGTAAGCCGATGCAAATTTCACTCTAATTTTTTATTTTGCGTGCTCCTGTGAAAAGAGTAGCTTTGAATGCATCGTTTAGAGTTCTAAAATAATGCGTAGAGAAAGAACGAATCAAATTTTTTACCGACACAATCGGCGAGTCTTTTCGAATTATACGGTAAGCAAAATTAATTAATTTAGCGTCTTTCTTTTTTTTCAGAATCAGGCGATGATTAATGCCACGGAGAGGTGATGCGGCGAAACTTTGGTTGGACGGCCATCCCGGCCACATGGACGATCCTTCTAATTTTGAGTAGCGGCTTAGCTAGCGAGCGAGCTTCCAGTAATCCGTGCATCAACAATGAACACACTTCCTACGAAGTTCGTCAAGGACCAGCGCTGCTCGCTTCCAATAGGAAAGTTATCGATGGTTCTACATTGCGATACGCGAAGCAGAATTTCATGCCGAGCCAATCGCCGACAAAAGCACTTTCTCTGGAATTTAAAAACACGGCAAATCGCGATTTACGGCTCACCGGCGACGGAAAACGTACCGCGATGTCAAATGCAATGGCCTCGTCGAAGCATTTGAGAGACAGTAACGATAAAAACACTCGGCTGGCTGCTAAGAGAGCGACAACTGCAAATACGCGGCGGTTGTCAAGAGTCATTGTTGTGGAAAAGTCAAGGGATGCGGGAAATTATCGCAAGTTCATATCGAGTCTGCGCGCGATATCGCCACCGATATCCCGGGAATTGAAAGGTGTCTCGGGAATGAAGGAACGTAAAAAAAGAGCGATCTATGCGTTCTCGAGCGATCGTAAAACGGCGATAAGGCGCGATTCTCCGACATTCGGCGGGAAAGGCCAGGCGCGTGAGAGAAAGCGAGCTTTCAGTCGGATAAACCGGGCAACCACATTCCTCCCCGATGAATTTGTAAAGCGTCCGCAAAGAGAGAAGGACAGTATTATAAAGAGGTCGAAAAATCCCGGTGTCACGAAGTTGAAAACTATAAGAGACATCGAGTCCGCGCGCATCGGCGAAAAACGTGGACGTGATAGAAATGAAGGGGAGTTCCGCCGGAGAACCGAGCTGGCGGAAAACGGCACAATGAATAAATTGATTTGCACCGACGACGGATCCGAAACCTCGGAAACAACTTTCCCGAACTGCTCGAGTTCGGAAGAAAATCAGAGTCGAAATGTCGAAGCCGTTGCGAATATTGCTGCAGGCAGCACAATCACGTCGGACTCGCCGTGCGAGCGCTCCGCGCCTGCCGCCCGGACTACGTTAATCTTTAACTCCAAAATCTTAAATGCAAACGGGAAAGTCGTTGAGAAGGAAAACGCGATAAGTCCCTATAAGTCCGCGGGAGACGAACATTCTAAATCCTATCAAACGGATGAGTTTCCAACTGCCGAAATATACGAACGTGACAAATATTCAAAGGTGGGATTTGCGAACGTGAATGCAAACATGAATAGAAAAGGAGACGAGGACTTTGTCAATTCGTTTACTTCTCACGCGCCAAATCCGCTCGATAATCATCTCGCTGGGAAGAAGCTGAGTCACGCGGAGCGTCCTCTTCTGTGGGAGAGAAAGCGCGCATTGAGAACGACGCGCGATACATCCGGCTTGCGACGTGAATACCGCTCTTTAATGAACAGCATCGCCCTGGGAATGAAGAGAAAAGTGGCGAAATTTGATAAGTCGCAAGCGCCGGAAAAGGGAGAAATGATGGCCGTAAATTACGGCACGCGCGATCTGTTGCCGACTAATTTGTCTGTTAAGGGAATTGATGAGTCGATGTTATACTATCCGACGTCAGCGCGTATTTCAGTCACGCAGGAGAGGAATCCGATGAACGTGCGCCACGTCCGGTCCGGCGTGGACTGCGAGCGTCCACAAACAAACGACCTCGAAGCCGGAGTACGTGGAAGGTTTCGAATCGGTCTGCGGAATGTTTCAGACCCTTTGTGGATTGCAAAATTTAGGAGCTCCCTCGACCAGAAAGCTCGCAGTCGCTCGAAATATTCGCGGAAACATCGTGCAGTCGATATTATCTTGTGGCCGCGCGTCTTCGAGACAATCGACGGAGAATCGGAGGTCGTCGGGAGACCTCGAGAAATTTCAACCGGAAGCAAATTTGCTGCTCTCGGTGTAGCAAACGTCAGCGATAATTCCGGCGAGATGCGGGAGATTAATGGTCGCGCGCAATCATTGAGTGAACCCGCGGATGAGCCCGGATTAAAAAGCGTCGGAGTTGCGGTGCATCGAGGCGGAAGTAATCAAGATGCGCGGAAGGGATGCGGATTTTATTCACAGCGAAGCGGTATACATAACTCCGAGTATCGACGATACAAACGTCACCAAGTTTCCAATACTCCGGAGATTTCGAGCGAGCTCGGCGGCGAGACACGGATGACATCCGACGCGACAAGGGCAACAACGTCAAACTCGTTCATCGAATTTACCGCAAAACCATCCGCTCCGACCACTGAAACAAGTAACGCGGATCAAGTGCCGAGCGACGCGAAAGAACCTCCCACAACCACCGAAGCACCGTCGTCTTCGGAATATCGAGAGATTCCGAAAGAGTGGCGATCAATTACGCCGATAATTACAGATCGCGAGGAATATGCGAGCACGCCGAGTCCCGATAATTCAGTCTCATTAGAGATACCGTTGATAAAAGCCCCTCCGAGAACGTTGAATAGCAGCTCGACAGAAACGCCGGCGTTCCTAATCGGAACGGTTGATCGATCGACGGCGATAACCAAAGTAGATAAGTTCATTATTCCGAAAGAAGCTCCTTCGGTCGCGGGGGTAACGGATGTGCAGGTATCTCACACCACGAACGGAGACGGGTTCGATGTTGCGCCATCGATCGAACCCATTAATTCGCGGGCAGGATACGGCGTGTACGGTAACGAATCCGTTTCGACCATCGACCCACTTGCTCAAAGGAATAGCGATCCTGCTCGAGGTGTCTTCGAGAACATTACGACGGAGTACGTCGTCGGTTCGTCGACAACCGATGACGCGCTCAAGGACCAGTGGCCCGTGAAGCATAGCGCGGTGGTGGAAGGCGATCTCGTTCTCGGTGGACTGATGATGGTACACGAGAGAGAGGACACTTATACATGCGGCCCTGTGATGCCGCAGGGCGGAGTGCAGGCGCTGGAGGCTATGCTGTATACGCTGGACACGCTCAACGAGCGGGGGATCGTGCCGGGCGTCAAAATCGGAGCGCACATACTCGACGACTGTGACAAGGATACATACGGTCTTGAAATGGCGGTTGATTTTATCAAAGGTATGTATTTAGCAATTAATCGCAGCGCTTCTTCATCTCCCTCACGCTTCATTATTTCCGCCTAATTACGCCGATGTTGTCGAAAATGTTTTCTTTCTTATTTCGAACTCTTTTCGTCTTCTTATTTTGTCGAACAGCAAAAAGTTGCGAAATAATGACCCATAACTTGGAAATTATCCGAGTTAAGATTTCTTTACGAAATATGACAATTTTCTTTTTGCAAAGTTTCAATTTTATCTTTTTATATGATTGTGAAAATAGTAATAAACTAGATCGGGTTAACTTTGGATTCTTGGATTCTTCTTCTTTAAAATTTATCGCAAAGTAATTACTATACAGTTATGACGCTGTATACAATTTACAATTTAATTGAAAAGAAATTTGATTTAAAGTGGATAACTTACAATGTACGCGAAACAAATTATATTTGGAATTAAAGGACCAAAATCTGCTAAAAGTGAAACGAGACTGACGGCTGGGCCCTTGGCGAACCTTAATCATCTTAAACGACGTCATATAATTCTAAGCATGAAAAATTTAGGGCTTGTAAAATTTATATCTGATTCTATTCCGTGATAAATTGGGTTGGAAAGTACGATATTAATCTCAACCGCACAATTTATGACTTAAGTACTTCTTCTTTAATATCGTTGTATCGCTTTCCCTTTACATTTTAATATTGCTCTCTTTTATTTTTGCCAACATAATTTCTACATATTTATTTTCTCTCTCTCTCTCTCTCTTTCTCTCTCTCTCTCTTTCGCATTTTTAAACTGAAATTAGACCCAAGCGCGAAATTTTGCTCGTCTGTGCAAAATCAAGTATAAATATCGAGTGTTTTCCTGGAAGAGAATTTTCGATTGCTGCCATTAATGAAAGTGTTATATGTCGACGCGAGCCTATAATATCTTTGGAGAAATTTCCAGCCAGGAAATTGCATTAGCGAGACCGCCGCGGCATAATTTCTGGTGGAACGAACTTGTATTGACTTATTTCGTTATCGCCTTGACGCGGCGCAACGATTGGATTTATATGCTCGACGGAAAGCATATGTATACATATATACACGCTTGCATATACGTATCTAAAGCAGCATAGTTGATCCTTTTCGAACGCACTCATGCGATGAAGAATACAGAGAAATTGCTTTTAACTAGTTTCTCTTCAACAAACATGAATAACGCTCCAGCTACTTCATTCATTTCACCATACTCTTTTTCTATAATGAACATAATACAGAGAATAATAGAGATGTGCGAACTATTAAACTTAAAAATAGGAATTGCAATTTTCTCATATATGATTCTTTGTCTACACGTTGGACAAATAACTTAATAATATACTCATAATTACAATTTTAAAGTTCTTGGAATAGAAAATGCATTTTCGTCAGTTTGACACCTGATTCGGGATTTCAGAACGAGCGGAGCATCAATTATATACCTAATAATCATTTTATACTTGAGCGTAGAGATTTGTACTTATCATGGATAAATAACGCGGTAATAACTATCAGTAGGCCAACGTTCTGCATTCTTGAAATGGTATGACACGCAGTTATCCGCTGTCGGTAAGCTTTCAAGTTGAAAAAGCTCCATCGAGCTTTTCCCAAGGTACCGACAATTCTACAGAAACGCCAGCGTACGATAAAGCTTTGTAATTTATCATTCGCTGGCGTTTCCGCGCGTTTTATTAATGCTAGAATTAAAGTAGCGCAACATCGAGCATCGATTATCTGTGAGATCTTCTAAAATATTTGTAAAAAAAGCTGTTTAATTTTCCACGTGTTCTTCGACTTTCAGCGAAAGAATTCCTTCCAGAAATTATTTTATCTGCAGAGAAATCGTGCTTTAACTGTGCATGTATATCTATTCTTGTAGCATTAATTACGTGGAATAATTTATCTCATTAAATGTCAGATATTGATTGCAAAGAGAAAAAATATCGATTCTTTTTAACGAGCTAGAATTCTTGGTATTTTTCAATTTGCAATTCTTGTGAAAGTCTCACGTGTCGATTTAATATTTTCGCTTGCTTTCGGGGCAATATGTAGAATCATCTGAGATTCAACGGTGAAAAGCGGTTACTGCATGGAGTAAAAATTTCTCCGCACTCTGCGATCTCGGCAGAAGTTACGCCATAAGAAACACGACGCGCCACGAGCTCGCAGTGATAACACCCGAAAGATTAAAGTCGTTGTATTATTCAACGGACAGCACGTTCGAGCAATGTGGACTATCTTCACCGCGGAATAGGAATTCTCCATTCTACCCTCATATTTAATCTTGACCCGGGTTAATAGCTGCCGGCAAACGCGACGCACTGCACCGTCGCGAGTTTGCGTTCCAGCAGCTGCCATCTGGCTGGCTGATATTCACGATGGCAGTAACCACTTTTATTGATACTTTCGCGAAGGAGTCTTGAACGGCTTATAGGCGGGCGTGCGAAACGAGAGATCTCGTGAGCTCGGCAAAAATCAGCGGTGAATGAAAACGAGTTTTTCGCTCGGGTGCGATTCTCGTTCCGGAGTTCTTTAATTTATCCCAACGAATAAGAATAAAAGTAGACCACTTGGGCGCGCCCGCCTTCTTCTCATTAGAAGTTTCTGATTTGCGCCATTAACATTTCCGCGGAGATTGCTATGTCCGCCCCTTTATTTCATTACGTACCCAACGCTGCAGTTCACAGAATAAGCCCTTTCGGGGATAACGTTCGCGGGGATACCGCTCTTAAACGTTTTATATATTGTAACGAGACGGAAATGTTATTACGTATAAACATTTAAATCGCAAAATGTAACAATGCGAAGTAAAGAAGAGTGCTTTGCATAATCCGGCTCGGGTTAAAATCCTCAGCATAAATCCGGCAACAAATATATTTCGCGCGGAAAATACAACTCGCGTGAAATCATACTGAAGTGTAACGTCTAACGTAACAATTTGTCTTCACGAGATATCGCGTTATATTTAAAATACATTCTGCGGTAAGAAAATATTAAAAATATTCGTTGCAATAAGCGATAAAACACGATTCAATGCAAGCTGAACTTTCGTCATGTGGCAACGTGCGCAAAAGTAGCGATATCATGGCCATCACCGAATCGATTCATTATGTTCGCGGTACGTCCAGCCAGTCTTCAAACCGACAGTCCTTTATAAGCTGCTAATTAATATTATACGCCAGATTTCCCCATCGCAAATGTCGCGGGCACACTGTGGTGACGTCTGTAATTATTATTGCGCTCGATACAGTTGATCTGTGCATATATAAAGTGCACCGCGAAATTGCCACGACGCGTGCTGTCACGCGAGCCATTTAACGGCTCTTTGATGAACAATATTCGGAATTCGACGTATCTTTAATAAATATGAAAATTCATAAAGAATCGCCCCGAAAATGAGAATACTTTGAGAACTTTAATTATTCATATTGTTCTTAGAAAGCTCTTGGATCACGCGGCACGCAAAAAGAAAGGAAAGAATTCCATGCAGATGATTAAAAAAGTACGGCGCAAGACTATCTTGAAATTCAATAAAATAAGATGAGAGCGTAATTTCGCAACGTTCATCTCGCTACTGAATTGTTTTGTGAGACACCAGGTGCAATGCTAATGTACTATGCTTCGCCTTGCTGTCATGTTATTTGAATCGACTGCGGGCCTATAAATACAGAATTATCGTACCGTAACGCTAACATTTCGGGGGCAAATGCGGTAGAACATTTCTGTCATTTGTATCATATTATTACACGGTTGACGCGTTGGTCCGTAATATTTAATATAACACATTATGTATATAATTTAATTTAAAAGTTAAAAAAAATAAAACATTCTGCGCGTGTCTCTAATTAAATCGCAGCGTAAATTAAAAAATTTCCAGAAAGTTATTATTAAAAAGTATGTCTTCTAAAAATTCGAACAATAGCTCCCTTTTCTGCATAAGCATTATGTGTTTTAATATACTTTTTGCAGCAATTCGGCAGCTTTTTGATTCTTCTAAAAACAAAATCTCTTGAATGGAGAATTATTCAGTTATGCACAGCAGCCGCAAGCTCGTCATTATTAGAAAAGCATCTTATCACATTCTTCATATAATCCAGACTTTGCGCCATCGGATTATGATTCGTTTATATCATTAAAAGAAGAACTGAGGAAATCTGTGCTGTTTGGAAGAAGTGGTAAGATGCTTTTCTGATGAAATGAGCTTACAATCACGGCGCATATAACCGGGTAATTTCCTAAGTGAAAGATCTGTTTTTCAGCGAATCGAAAAGCTGCTAGACATGAAGTTAAAGTTAAAAAAGGCGCAATAAATTTTTATAAACAACTTTTTACAAATTTAGACTTGGTTTTATACAATAAAAGATATAATTTCTTAATTGAAGGCGCGAGTGCATACGCTTTCCGCCGAATTATACATTCGTGAGTGCCAGAAATCATATCTGATGGCTGCACGACGTTACCGTACTGTTGTCATTAGAACGCGGACGTTTCTGCGTCGGGACTGCACGCGAGCTCTCGAGATAACGTTGCTCCTAGTGGCGAACGTTGCAATTTGTCACGACTTGCTACCCCGACGAGCGATTTAAAAACAACATTTTTCAGCGTGCAACTCAACCGCAAGGGTAGTAGTACCGCTGGCAGGAGATAATGGTAAAATCGAAGCAATACCGCTGTACCGCACGGAAGTGAGTGGCAATAACGATTTTATGAAAGTTTAATAACTAGAATCTTTCCGCTGGCGAATAATATTCTCGTTTGTAGCACAAATATTCACTCGCGGGAAGTGGCGAAGTATCTAAAGAGATTGTAAAGGCACTTGCCTATATGTTAAAATGTTAACTTGAGTTACGGAAACATCTGACGACAATGTGAATATCGATATCCCGCGCCGATTCAAAAATAATTCACGCATTCATCACGTGTATAGCGGGAAAGTTTAGGAGAAGACCTGGAAAAACGTGGAAAGAATGCTTCAATCTTTCTTCAAGAAGTTATCTTT